TTATCAGAGAGCGGCTCGGGGCGCTTCACGAGGTCCGCGTAGGCGAGCGGGAGCCAGTGTGGCACGTTGTATTTGCTCGCGAGGAGGATCTTCTGCAGCGGGTCGTGCAGCCGCTGTGCGATCTCTTCGAGGGCGAGGTCACGGATGTTGTCGAAGACGTAGCGCGTCGCGATGGAGAGCAGTGCGATCCAGTCGTCGAGCGAGTCGATTGCGGGTCTGTACGTTCTGTTCATTTATGAGGAAGGCGACGGATGAGAATCGCTTCGATGGATGGCGGGAAAGTGATGCACGTACCTGTCGTAATAAAATCGCAAAAGGCATCGGAACTCATGTACAGTCACGCCGTATAGGACGATGGGCTTTGCATCCGACTGTCCTTCCGCCTCCTCCCCAGGCGGTAGTGGGCATGCAAAGAGTCCTCGGAAGAACTCCGAATCTCGTATGAGGAAGTGCCGATGCACCTTGAACAACCTTCGTTCAACCTGGAGAGCATCTGTGTCCTCAGCACCACCATCTCCAGAGCATACACATGTAACGCGCCATGAATACCGTTAGGTCATCCTGGAAATAATACTCGTCGTCATGGACCGCGTCTGTGGAAGTGGGTGATGTGGACATGGGTGTGCCGACCGAGTTCGGAGCGTGTATTTTGAAGAGGCTGCGTTTATATGACTACGCTGCTTGCTCAATTCCCGCGGGATATGATGTGCGCGGGGGAGCAGGAGAATGCGATGCTAAAGAAGGTCGGACTCCGGCCCATAGTTGCCTGATGCAGATGACATTGACATGCTGTCGCCCTAGATCTCTGCGGACAGGAAAGTGGGTGGTAACATTTTGAGTCCGGAAGTGCCCCCGTGAGCCTGAGGCCTGAGCAGATCTTGCCTAGGATGCCTATCGCCGTCTATCTTTGTGTCTATTTAGGCCTAGTCTCATTTCCCACCGGAGCAATGCGGAATATATCACGTGAGTTGCACGTGAACAGTAGAAGCTTGACAGGCTCGGCCGTTGCCCTGATGCAATCAGCAAGGTCCCATCAAAGCGATGCGGCCAATATCTTGATGATTTACGACTTAATATCGACCTTACCTGAATTGCGCTCTCGCGACCACCTCTACCGCGAGAACCTTCACATTTTTCTAGTTATTTGACATGTCAGGAGACCTGGAGAAATTCATACAGCAGCTATTGCGCAACTCCGAAGAGCTGAAACTCGTCCTTGAAGCCGAGGCGGTACCACGACCAACAGACAGCGATTCGTCCTCGTCCTCAAGCAGCTCCCCGTCAAGCAGCGAGTCTGAGACTGACTCTGATTCTAAAGTTCCTGGAGCGATTACCAGGTTGAAGCAACGTCGCAAGGATGCCAAGATCAATAGGAAGCGTGTGCTAGCTGTGGTTGCACACATTGACCCGTATGGAGAAGAGCAAGGATGGTGAGCTCGCGCATTGGATCGTTTTCGACTTATGACTTGTGGCTATAAACTATATGCTTAGTGTCTTTATCTTCAAGTCTCACATGAAAGCGTCCACAGCGGGGAATACCATTGTACAACACACTGTTGAGCATGCGTTCCCGATATTGAGTGGATTCACTATTGCAATGGCCCAAGCGAAGCGGAACACCATTGATCTCACCTCTGCCTCCATGGAAACTCTTAAGCAACCGCAGTCAGGTACCATCATTCTCTCCACTTTAGGGCGAGCTATCGACTAACGTGCACCACAACCTGCTCCTGGGTGTAGCGGAATTCAAACTGACCTTGCACCCTGGACACGACCTGTCTCAAAGGTCGATCGCTCTCACCACTCAGGATTCTCCACATCTCAAGCCCTTCCTAACGGAGGTCAAGAGGCTGAAAGACATTTCTGGTTCTATTTTTTGCTACTTGCTCAAGATGATTAAGCTCAAGCGAAAAATCTAGTCGTTAACTCCGAGCCTGGGGCAACTCCGTCATACCCCTGGATACTTCCCTATACATCAAAGTCGAAGCCATCTCTTCGTTAGTCAATTGCCCCCGTGACCGTGATGTACATGAAAATGAACGTCCTGTCGCATAGTTTCGGCTGAGCCACAGGACCTGCGTCACGTCCACCGGCAGATCTCTGAACTCTTATCAGAAGCGTCTGCAGGGTCTCTCGGTGACGATGCCTTCGATACATCTATCATCCGCGAATTCTGGATACGATCGCAAGTCGAGCAGCTTTATAATTCTGGCTCGCAGACCTCTTTGAAGTCTGTACCCCAAATCTCTTTCACCAGATAAGTGATATCTCTAAAATGTTGATCCTCTCAGGCTGCGCATTGGAACTTTTAATGTCAACGGGAAGCTGCCGTCACAGGATTTGTCGGCATGGGTCAGAGGCCCCTCGACCGGCGCGAACAAATACATTCCACCCTTGAAAGAGCTTTCTCCCTTTTCATTAGAAGGTATCGCGACGGACTCGTCGGGAGAAGGAACTGGTTGAGTGACAAATCATATCACTACTCCATTTGCACCTGACAGTATCATTATAGCGCTGCCATTCGGGAAACAGCCCGACATTAGTGCGGATTCCAATGCATCGAGCGTGACGGACTTGCCAGTTGCTGCAGCTTTCGCCGGCAAATATGACGACCCGGATTTGATAGTTCTAGGATTTCAGGAGCTGGATCTCTCGGCTTCAGCGCTGATTTACTCCGCGGAAACTACACGTGAGGATGCTTGGCTTACCGCGGCGCTGGCTGGGCTGGGTGAGAAAGCTGTAGAATACGAGAAGGTCAGAGCTTCTTCTATCTCGGAGTTTTCGGAGCTTACCTATATTTCCAGCTCGCGAGCAAGCAGCTCGTCGGAATGCTGATGGTGGTTCTAGTCAAGCGAACAATGAAAGACTGCTTCAAGCGCATCCAAACAAATTCGGTCGGCGCAGGAATTATGGGACTCATGGTACACGCCCGCTCTCCTCAGCCTCGTTGTGCGCGCACGCCCCGTCCGCTGACTCGCACATTGCGCTTCCGCAGGGCAATAAAGGCGCCGTGGCCCTGCGCCTCGCGTTCGAGCCCCGCCCGACGCGCGACGCGCGGCACCCGCGCGGAGCCGTGCTCACGTTCGTAAACGCGCACCTCGCGGCGTTCGACGAGATGTACGAGAAACGGAACGCAGACTTCCACGACATCTCCAGGCGGCTTGTCTTCGACGCCGGCGCTCCCGCCCCCGGCGCCCCGTCTCCGCAGGCCGGAGGTGCGCCACCAAACGCGCCGCTGCACGCCTTCCAGAGCGATGCCCTGTTCTGGCTTGGCGGTAGGTTGAGCTGATTTGACATTTTGGAGAGTCGCTGACGCTGCGTGTAGACCTTAACTATCGGATAGAACTCTCGGACTCAGACGCCCGCGCGCTGCTGGCGGATGACGCTGTGGATAATTTGCCGCTTCTGCTGCAATATGACCAGGTTCGCCGCTTCGTTGCTCGTGTTGTGGAGTGGGGCATATGCAAAGACGAGCTTAACTGGCGCACAGCTGAACTTAGCGAGGCGGACTGACAAGGCATTTGCTAACTTTATTGAACATCGGATATTACATTTCCCGTGCGTGCCTCCTGTACGTTCTTGCTCTCTGTGGAGCCGCACTGACGGCCTTCATCTCCCTTGCAGTTCATATCGCTTTAACTCCGGGGCGCTTTCTGACAATCTAGGTTATGACTTGAAGTGCGTACTGTTGCCAACTGTCGGAGTCGCCGTTAATTTTTGGTTTTAGGCGTAAGCCGGCCTGGACCGATCGTGTTCTCTATATTCCCTCTGTAGCGGTGCGCGTCCAGCAGCAGACATACCAATGCCACAAAGAGATTACGATGAGCGACCATCGCCCCGTCTCGGCGACTTTTGAACTCCGCGTGCGCCACGATTCCCGACTGCACAGGACAGGCGCGGGCTTATGCTTCTTGGCCCGCAGGTACCGACCGTCGACGGCGAGAAACTCGACGCTTTCGCGCACGGCCTATGGAAAGAGGTTTCCCATATCGAAGATGCGGAGGACATCCCCCGCGTGAGCGTAGAACCAGCTGCGATCGACCTTGGTAAGATTGAGTGCGTGATAAGGGTGTTCTTCCTCCGCCCGCTGCGCTCTGACCGCAGGCCAGGTACCACCGGGAAGCCCAGCAATCCGTTCTAGTTCGGAATACTGGCCGCGTGCGTTGGGTTCCTGTACGGCACCGCCACTTCGTGGCTGACCTCGCCCTCCAGGTTCCGTTCGCATTCAGATTCGTCCCGCTTGCGCCTGGAGAGCCAATATGTGAGCAGTCCCCCCAAAACGGAGCGGACAATGGCTAAATGTCAGCGTGCCAGGTCCCCGCTGGCTCCGCGTCAAACCAGTTGCGGTGCGTTTCCATCTCGCGCTCGCCTTCAGCGGGCCTGACAACGTTTTACTGCGCAGGGTCTTGTGCGACCTGGCGAACACAAGGAAATAATCTTGACCACGACCGTCGACAACCCCGTTGCCGCGAAGCTCAACGTTGGAGACCCACATCTGGAAGCAACGCTTGTGCTGCATGTCGCGCGAGGCAATGACAGCTTCGTCGTCGTCAGCGGGGATTACGGTGTGTCATTTTCTCGCTTTCGCCGCAAGAAGGCGCTGAATTCAGTAACCGGCTGTGCAGCTCGCACCTGCTTCGCCACAAGCATGCAGCGCCTGGTGCGGATGCCTGGGCCTATGCGGATGACGGGGGTCCGAAGGCTGCTTCCTGACGAACAGGCCGCGACAGCGCCGAAAGAGGTCATGCGCCTCATCAGCTGGCTCATGAGCTATGGCAGCGATGTTGTGCGTATTCGCTGCTCCTTGCAGTCCCGCGTGCGCAGCTTATGCACGTTCAGGATAATCTGTTTCTTGCGCCAGGAGACCTCGCTCAGGTCGACGAAATTCGTGAGGTGAGTGCAGAGTTTAGCACCGGGCTGCCCCGCGTTAAACAGACGATGACGTTCGTTGTTTACAGGCACTCGACACCGGTACAGAGCTGCCTGTGCCGGACTCAAATAGCCGAGCTGCCCTCGCCCTGAGCGTCGCGTCTTGCCTTTTGCAGCTCCTGGACGCTCTGCCCGAGCCGTTGGTCCCGCCCCATCTGCACCAGGCGTGCGCGGAAACCACGGATCGCGAGTCTGCGTTCGAGGTGCGGCCTGTGCATTGCTGAACCTTCGCTTTGTCAGAGCGGCTGACTGTAGGCATGTGATGCTTTCATTCATTAAATTCAGCTTCTCAACGGCCTGCCCGGCGCCTCAGTCAACGTACGTCGTTATAGCTCCCGTTTCTTCTCTCTCCGCTCCTGGGCCCCTGCAGCTGAATGGCATAACGGATAGGTGTGGATCTCGCTGACCTCGCTGTTACACTTCTTGTGCCAGCAGGACGCGCGTATGCCTGGTGCTTTGCGCGTCCGTCGGCTAGGTGAGCACACTTGCGTCCTCCGCGTTGTCACGACGAGTGTATTGAAAGATGTTCCACAGCGGCTAGATTCGCTCCTGTCATCTTCCGGGACGAATCAGCGTTGTCGAAGCCGATATCTCCCGTGGGAAAACGCAAGTTCATTATGCACTTCGTCTCATAAGCGGATCGAGTCAGGCGTTTATGAGTAAGATGTGGTATAACGGGGAGAGGCGCATATAGATACAGGCGGAGGACAGATGCACAGGTGCAGATATACATTTCATTGTAACAGTAAGCGAAAATCAAAGCCGACAACACCGAGAAGCAATCACAGAGAGCATAGTAGGACGAGAAGGTGGGTCGAGAGAAATTGCGGAGCCGTAGGATGCCAGCATCGACTTGGCGCCGATAGAAGGGCTCAGCCATTACTGCTTCGGCCTGAACGTGTGCCAAGGATTGGTCAGACCGTGTCCGAGAGTTGCAGAGCGTGATTTGGCTTACACAGGCGCATAGAGGCACGGCTGGTTCCGCTTAGCGCATTGCCCGCAAAGCGGTTTCTGGCCGTCGCACTTGAGCTTGCGCGCTAGCGGGATGGGATGGTCAGTAAAGGCCAGAGCGAACAGTGTGAACGCTGCTCACCGCGACAGAACTGGCAGGCCATCGCTGTGCGACGCGGGGTGCGGGGAATCTCCTCGCCATCGCTGTCGTAGGGGACGCTGCTGGAGGCCTGCGCCACAAAACGTCAGCGGGATGGCCACATACAATCGGGAAAGTGCGAGCTGTACCTCAGTAGAGCTCATGATATCGATGAAAAAGTTGCGAATATGTGCTGGATGAAGTGATGCAATAGAGATACGTAGGCTGTCTGGATGTGCTGCTGTCGGGGAGGATGTACGTCTTATATATGTCGCAGCCGCCACCGCCCTCCTACAAAGCTTTCGGTATCAGTGTCCGGCATTGCGCACGGAGAGAACGTGATGACTCCGACGGCGCTGGGAGCAATCCCAATGCTATGCGCCGGCCACTGAAGGGCGGCAGGGTTACACTTGTTTATGCGGCAGATGGCTGGTCCTCGGCGCGAAGCTGCTAGATGCCTGCAAAACCGGAGGCCTGTGCCACATCTCTGAGATGGGCGGTCGCAGTTCACGTAACGGGGCGAGGGGCAAGGCAAGCGCTCTGTGGATGCGGGGAACACACCCTCGCGCAGAGGCGTCGCGCAGCCGGGACCACGAGAGCTCGGCAGGCGCTTCGATCTAAGTGGACGCACCTCCGTTGTCGGTCGCAGCTTTTGATGCCGATCAATATGAAAAGGCGGTATCAAGATATTCGATCTTGCGGACCCTGCGGGATCGCGAATATCTGCACTAGGAAGCCAAGTACTTCTGTAGATCAGCTTACGGTAGGCGGACAAAGATAACCCCCGGGGAATTGCAGCCTCAACACAACCCCGGAGCAGTCTGGCTTAGTGCAAGCAGCTCTCGGAACTCGGCCTGGCTACACATCTGAAAACGGAACAAGGGAAGCATGGGGCCGCATGGGTGTAGCGGAGCTCTCAAGGGCAAACGGGCCTAATGAGCGTCATAGAGCAGGAGCGCGAGCGCGCAGGGGAAAAAGAGTGGGAAACGCGGAAAACCACGCACCAATAGGCCCGTCATGGTCGGTGGGCGTAAGTTTGGCGCGTCGCCAGCACTGCAAATTTGGATGTGTCCGGGTTAAGATACGATATCGATGATGCAGGCTACGTGTAATTCCCAATTGATGCACAGCACGAGGCGCACTGGGTGGCCAAGGAGATATTTCCTTACTGTGCTCCGATGTTGGTGTGTTATAATCTCCTAAACATCATCACCTAAAGCCCTTCACAAGCGATGACTCGAGTACATAGCTGTCAGCATGAAACCCGTGACAAGTTAAAACTCAGAGAAGAGGGTAACACCAGTTTTGAACAATGTCATTGAATGATGCACCAGATGTCTCTTCACTGCTTTGTAATCCAGCCTCGATCGAAGACGGAGAATGAGCTCGACCGAATCGGATGGGCCACTGACGATAATATTGGAAGCTGAGTACGAGACAAGAGCGCCGGCTTCGGTGCCGACTGCGCCGGGCTACGAGCGACAATAACAGTCAGATTGTCGTCAGTAATGTTCAGTTACACAAGATCCGATAGCGAACATAACAGTGATTCTGGGTCGTGGCATCTGTCCCGCAGCTCGTCTGTACATTCCCGCCAGAAGGGCCTAGCTCGTACGAAAATAATCCGCGAGACCCGTTCGCAGTCGTGTGGGCAGCAACGAGATGGTCTTGTGCAGATTTGGAGATAACGGACGAATCGAGCGAGCTAACGGAGCGGGGAGCCGCCACAATCAACGTCTGTAACGGCAGTGTTCCGCGCGCCGGCGACCTAACGGTTGATGCTCCAAGGCTGCACAGGTTGCACCTGGGAGGAGAGTATGCCGGCCATGTTGCAGAAAAGCTGTACACCGTGGTAAGACATGCTGCACTGGTTAAACACTCCAGCTGGCTACTTGCCGCGTGGTCCTCGACCCGAAAAGCGCTTTCAGGGTCTGCCCGCAGGCTCTCCGACGTGCGAAACTCCAAATGGCAGACCGTGGATGTGTTATCCTCGCGCCCGGGGTGCCACGGATGCGGTAGCTGTGGCTGCTTGCCAGCAGATATCCTGACTGGCCTCGACTGCGTATTTCGTCGCTATCAGCGGATAATCCAGGCAAGTTCACGGCGACCCGGGAAGTTTTGGGCGGTGATCCAGAGTGCGTTGGGGCGAGCCACAGACCGGATACAATATTCTGGACATAGGTAGAAAAAATGGCATGAGTTGTTGGTCTATCCCAAGAACACGAGCATGGTGGGTGGCAGTTTGTGGGCTGTGCGGCAAAGCAACATTGCGTGCCCGAAGTGGAAAATAAGGCTGTCTCGGAGATTGCCGTGCTTCCGCATATGGCGAATATCGTAGTTTGAACGCTTGCGAAGGTGAGATGCCTGGCCAGGACTTTTCTCCTCGGCAAGGGCAAGTATCGTTCATATGATAAAAAGCAGTAATGTCTGACGTGTCGACGGTGCAGCGAGCATTGCCATGCATTCGAGTCGCCGAAGCGGCGTTGCAACGCATGCCACAACCATGCCACCAGCGAGAGGCAAGCGAGAGACACGTTCGCTTGTCCACACGCTCGCCGGTAGTCGCCTCTGCGAGCCGATAAATCTCAAGAACGCCGAATTGTATGGCGGGGTTTCTTCATTGTGTGTTACTACAGCCCAATTGACCCAGACCATAGCATTTAAGTTGACGCACCAAAGACAAGCAGGTGCGGCACGCTTTCATTGAGGCTCTCACTAGTCGCTAGCAGTATTTATTATCTACACAAAGATGGCTATACCCAAGATACTTCAAAACCATCTGTGCACAAGCGCGGCATTACCGGCGTACTCGCCTGCAAATTCTCTGCCTGCGTGGTGTGACTCAGCCCGCCGTGTCTTACGTGCTGTCTCAGGGTAGGGCATCCTAGCGTGTGACCGTACAGTTAACATCCGATGGGGTATCGAGCACTGCCTTGTTAATGACGCAATAATCTTGAGCTCGGCCTCCGTAAATCCTCGGAGTACGGATGTGACATCGATCGCCGCGAACGCTGCTTAGCTCGGGACGCGTTTTCGCCTAATAGCCATCCACAACTTACCACCTCAATCAGCACGAAACATGCAGCAAATCTCGGTAGGTTTAAGAGCTCCGCATGATAGCCAAACAGTGCAGTTGCATTCTTGTTGTCATAAGGCCGAGTACCACCAATTTAACCAAAATACACTATTATTATACATGCAGCGATTGTCGTTTGCATCTACGGAGAGTCTGCTGCAGGCCAGGGCTCACGCGAAGAGTTTCTTAAACGCCTTCTTCTCCTTGTCGCGCTTCTCCTTCTTGCGCGCACGCACCTTCTCGAGTTCGACGACGATCGTTGCATCATCCTTGACGAGCTCGTGCGCGGCGACGAGGTCCGCCTCAGCCGTATCATCGTCCTTGAGCGCACTGTGGCCCAGCGCGCGACGGTACAAAGCCTTAGCCTTATCCGCATCGTTCAGCTCGAGCCGGTCGAGCACACGTGTTGTGCTGCTGATCGCGAGACGCGGCTGCCCCACACGGATCGCAGCGAGCGCGGAGTTGAGCAGCAATGGCGCGAGTAGTGCGTTATACGAGTCTTGGAGCTCTGGTGGGGCGTCCTCAGGCAGGACAGGGTGCACATCGAGGTAGCGGAGCGCCTCTGTGACGTACAGTCAGTGCTCTAGTCTAGATAGTTTGTGCCACAAGAGACGTACTCTGGTATTTGTTGAGTGCTGTCTCGGTCTTACCCTCCTTGAAGAGCTTGTTGCCGATCTCCCGGATCTCGCGCGCAACGCGGAGGGCGACCTCGGGCTTCTCCTGCACATTGCCGTCGCTCAATGCATCCTGGTCATCAGGGTAGTCTTCGTAAGGGTCCCCGTCCGCTGCTGCCGCTGCACTCTCCGACAGCGAGGGATCCGATGAGTCAAGCTGACCACATGCGGCAATGGTGCACGGCTCAGTGGGGACATCGCCAGAGGAGGTAGGATGGTTTTCGATAGCACGGACTGCAGAGAACAAGAGTCAGGTTGCGAAGCACAAATATCAACTATGATCGTTCTCTATACGTACATATCGACTTTCCGCGAATGACCTCGCCGAACACGACATGCTTGTTGTCAAGATGCGGCGTGGGCGCGGCTGTGACGAAGAACTGCGAGCCGTTTGTGCCAGGTCCTGCATTTGCCTATGGAAAGCACTACAATGGGTATTTCGTGACAAGACGATATGCAGGCAAACGCACCATGGACAGCAGGAACGGCTTGGTGTGCTTCACGTCAAAATTCTCGTCCTCGAACTTCTCTCCGTAAATCGACTCGCCACCGCGTCCGTCGCCCATAGTAAAATCGCCGCCCTGGATCATGAATCTAACATCTCCCCACGTCAGCGTCTGTAAACTAGCGCATAGCAACGGTACGACTGACCCCTTGATGACACGATGGAAGTTGCATCCCTGGTAGTGCAGGGGCTTGCCTGAGTTTCCGACACCCTTCTCGCCAGTGCAGAGTGCACCTTCAGGCCAGGCGTTCAGTCTCTGATCACGCTCTGAATAACACAGATTACGCACGGAAGTTTTCGGCAGTCTTCGGGACGATGTCATCGTACAGCTGGAAGACGACACGACCCGCAGGCCGGTCGCCGATGGTGACGTCGAAGTAGGTCAACGAGCGAGTCTCGGACATGTGGGGTACGAAGTTCCTCTGGCGTGAGATGTCGGCTCATGTTACTTCACGGCTTTAAAGCTGAAGAGACTACAAACGGGAAGTTGCGAGAATGTTCCTCACAATCTCGAACGCGAGTTCCGCAACACACGCTTGCCATGCGTTTTCTAATAGCGGTAACAATCGTTCTTACAACAAGATTTAAACAGCTCTTACCGATGCAGTGATACCATCAATCATTTGCTTATTATAACTAAATATTTTGTAAGCGTAACAAGCTAGAGGTAAGTAGCGAAAAAGTAGGGGCATCCTAGCGCTCATATAATGACGGTTGCGCGCCGCACCGACTGTGCACCACAGGCATTGTTCTTGCGACCATTCCAGCATGCTATTTAACCTCTTACTACGTCTCATTAGGTGTGTCACACCGTGTATAGACATTTTGTGCGAAGTTCATGACGATGCAGTGCTGTTTGTGTCTTTCTCTACCCCGGCTATGCGTCGTACAAGACCCTCTCACAACGCCCCGCGTCCGAAGTTGAACTCGAGCGATGGCTCATGTACTGGAGCGTCCTGGGCTGTATTCTCGCGGTAGAATACGTTGCAGAGTGGCTTATATTCTGGTGTGCCCGCTGCCACACGCCCTGTGTCGTCTGCTGACTTATGATGAGCCAGGATCCCGTTCTACTTCACCCTCAAAACTCTCTTCCTTCTTTGGCTCGCGCTCCCACAAACTGCGGGCGCATCCATCCTCTACTCGACACGCATCCAGCCCTTCTTTGCCGCACACGAAAAGGAGATTGACTCCGCTCTTACGCAGCTCAAGAATTACGTGTACAACTACCTCCAGCGGCTCCTCCGCAATGCCTGGGGCCACGTCGTCGCCTCAACGAACCAGGCTCCGGGAGGCGAAGCGCGCCCGGACGCTCTCGACGAAGGTGGCCTCACAGGCGAGGCCGCCGTGCACTCAGGGAACCCACCGACGCTCTCCGACCCGCTCTCAGGGCCCGCGCAGCTCGTGCAGACCTTCTGGCGGAGCTACGGCCCTATGGTCGTCGCGGCGGGCTCGGGCTTCATGCGTCAGGCGCAGAGCACTGCGCGTGCGAGCGCGCAGGCCACCGAGGAGGCTATGGACACGCCGCCCGCGGGCCCGAGCCGGCTCCAGTCGTCGTCGTCCGTCCTCCAATCCGTTCTCGACCGCCGCCGCCAGCTCGAGGCGGAGCTTGCGGCGCTCGACACGCACCCCGGCCTCCAGGGCTACGACGTCTCGGAGCCTGCGCGGCCCTTTCCGCCTGCGGACGGGCACACACGCACCTCGTCGCCGTCGTCGCTGCGCGAGCGCCCGGGAAGCGGGAATGGGAAGTTCGAGGAGGTTGAGGTTCCGAGCGACATCGAGAGCGAGGACTTGATGTCCCCTGACGCTGAACGGCCACAAGCAAACAAGGGCTGGTTCGGATGGAGTGGAAAACCCCAAGGATATGAGAGAGTGAAGACCGAGTGAATGACAATTATGCCCAAGCTATCATCCGCTACTCATCTATTCTCTTGAAGGTGCTTGTGATGTGCATGTGGTATATATGTGTATATACTTCCAACTTTTGATTAAAACTACAGTGAGGTCAAGATGTTGTGTGAGGTACTAAGCGCCCACAGCCTTGCAAGGCTGGCAATCTCGTAGTCGGAACATACGGGTATTGTGGCATTGGCGCGAGTACCGACGCGCGGTGTGCTCTATAGAAGGCTCCCAGCCGTGATGCTGAGCATGTTATTGCTAAACGACCAAGGCCCCGGGACAGATGGGCAGGGCACATCGGATGTAGGTGTAGGTCAAAGTGGTTCTTGATGTATACACGTTCGAGTATAGTCTACGCGCCACAATGTTGCTTTCTCAATATTGCTGTGGGCATGTCGCTTTGGAGGAGATCGTGATCGACGCTACGCAATACTCGCAAATCCACTAAGACGCAATTAACAAGTTCCCGAATTTGAAGGCCCCCTTCTACGGCGACAGACTGATGGAACTGAATGGCCTAGTGGCGTCTGGGGTGCCCTTGTCGAATTGAGTTTTTTTGGGCTTCCCGAGCCTGCGCAGTTGACGGCTATTGCGTGCTATTCGCTGCTCGCACCACCTGACCCCGCTTCCGCACCAGCCGTCGTCACGACACAGGACAGGCGAACCATTGATCAATCCTTCAAACGCGTTGTTAAGTTTGTAGTGTACAAGTACATGGGGTGTTACATAGCGTCATTCGTGACTAGCGCAAGTTCCTATTATACAATTACTGGCTCTATCTTTGGTCCCAATAACTTAAGGGGAGTTCTTGGTCTACGACAGGCATATGAGCGATGGGTAGCAATTACAATTCAAAGCGTACTTACACCGGTCGAGACACCGGTGACGGGAGTGGGCTGCTCGTCCTGGGAGTGAGATACGGCGTGAGAAGAGCGCGCGATGGCGGCAAGGTCCACATCTGAAGTGAGTACAGTCGGTCTCAGGGAGTCCTCAACGAGCACACTGACAAGCGGCACTCACCTGGAGACCTAAGGGCATTCTTGCGGATCTCGGCCGCACGCCTTTTCTCCTCTTCGGTCAGCGTGACCGACGGCCTGCGGGCAGAGGTCGTGCCTTCCTCGCGAGGGACTGGAGCTGGTTGCACGCGAGTCAAACCTCAGGTGGCGGCCAAACACCGGAAGTGTACTCACCCTCCTCCCCGTCATATTCACGCTCCCCGTCGAATTGAGCGTCCTCCTCGAGCTCCTGCTCGTACCGAAGCGCGCCCCAATTATGCGGCCCCGCGCCATCCTTCTTGAGCTCTTGGCCCATGGCATTGCGGGGTTGGGAGCGGTCCTTCATGATCGCACGAAGCGAGGTCGAACGCTCAGTACGGGTCATAGTGGCCTATGGTGTGCTGCGATTGAGTGCGGTGCGGACGATGTGAGAGATGATTGTAGTCAAGCTGCGGAGGCGGGTCTGTTTCGAAGAAGGTTTATATAGCCACTTGGCTCCAGACGTCCGTATCACTCGCGTGACTGCTCTCATCCCCGCCGGGCGTGTCACGTTCCAGCCGTTTCGAGTCTCGTTCTATTCAGTTCCACGGACCATCTAGGCTTTATTTGTTTCATGTCAGTTGAATGTCCACTGGTCCTCTTTCTTATGTCACTTTCCTCAAATACTAGATATCATATCACTACGTATCTTCTTGCAAGTAACGATATGGATTAATTACCTGAGGAAACGACTGACGATATTCCGGGCTCTGTTGTGGGGAAATTGACGTAGGGGCGGGAACTGCCGAGATCTGGTGGCAGATCGTCATAGGGCGCCCGTTGTACTATTTTAGCGCATTTTGACGCATTTTGGGCAGGTTAACGTTTCGACAGGCTAGCTAGGCTCAGCAAGAAGATACGTCTGGTCGCCGACGCGCGAATAACACGAGGCCCAGCAATTTCTTCGACTCGCCAGGCACGAGCGGGAGCAAACGAGGTGACGGGCCCGAATTAATATTACTGGGCTACGAATTGAAAAACTCGCAGCACTATTCTGCTGCCATGTACATTGCATCTTCCGTAACTATGGGAGAGCAGCATGGAACGCTCCAAATATAATGTATCATACAGAATATAACAATAGGATGGGCTTAATCTTCATTTCCGTGAAGCGTCGGCTTCGCTCTGTTTATCTGCACGTCGCAGAGACCCCATTCGGCCAAAACACACCCTCGACGATTTGCTCGACCCTGCTAAGATCTTTCGTCGGCTGCGGCCGTACCCAGTTCCCCGCCTTGTTCGTGCGCGGTGCGCTCTGGCATTGGATGAGCATGTCAACGAGCACGCGCTCGCGAGCCTGGGCGACCTGGGATGCGACCTTGACACCGAGCAGCGCAGCCTCGGACTCTTGCAGTGGGTGCTCACGCATGCAGAGCGCGACGTACGCCGGCGTACGCCACCGTGCGATTTCGAAACGATCTGCGAGCAGCAGTCGGTCGAGCGGGTCGAGGGAAGATGTCGGCGCCTCGAGCTCGCACAGGGCATGCTCGCGCAGCTTTGGGAAGTAGAGTGAGGTTGCAGCGGAGAGGAGTGATATCCAGTCCTCTACGGTACACGAGGCTGGCTGGTGTATCCTAAAACTATGATCAGATGTTATGTTCCGAGATCCAATGTAGCTCGACTTACCCGGAGTAGACAAAGCGTAGCAAGATCTCAAATGCCTCCACCGTAACCTGCGGCAGTTCAATCGCAGTTTCATCTGAGAGCCCACGCCCCTCCTCCCGGGCAAAAAGCTTCCTAAAATATGTTGACTCCCGCTCAAGGAAACAGCGGTGCACCCTGAAGAGACACCCGTCCACCTGCAAAGCACAGCCCGCTCAGCGACCGCAGACAACCCAAACACCGCCGAGCAACTCACGTTCAACGTCACAAGGTCGTCTGTGAAGTAGAACTGGCTGTGCCGCGTCGTCTTCGGCGAGAAGTTCTTCAGCGAGAGCGGCTTGCTCGGCACGGGCGCATGGAAGAACCATGAATGACCGAACGACGTCGGCGGCGGCTGTGAGTGCGGCGCGGGAGACGCAACGGAGGGCGGTATGCTGATACTCGTAACATGCGAGGCCTTTGAGCGGGCGTCCGCAACTACGCCGGAGTCCGAGCTGTCGCGGGACGAGAAGCTGGCGGCGCTTGCCGCGGGCGATGGTGGACGTGATACTTCGCCTAATGAAACGGGGGAACAGCGTCCGTCGAGAGGTTCCGATGACGCAGGTGGCGTTTCCAAGAGAGCATGTTGTCCGTTGAGTGGTATGGTATGGTCCCAAAACTTCCCCGGTTGCTCCCATGTGGAGGGGTAGGCTGGTGGGCTGGCCCATAAGAGACCGGGGAGACGGAGGAATGGAGGATCTTGGACTAGTTCTGGCTTGGGGTCGTATTCGGGGATCGGTGCGGGGGCGGGAGGCGTAGGAAGGCTGGAGGAGGCCGACGATGACGAACTCAATGATGCTGAGCCCGAGCCGGACGCATGCGGAGAGTGAGACGACAGAGCAGAGGAATGTTTCTGCGACTTCCTGGGCATAGCGAGTGAGAGTATGGGCGAAAGACAAGAAGGGCGACGTTCGCAAGCAGCTTCGTCATATTAGTATTCAGAGCATCCCAGCGTCTTGTCTCCTAGTATGGCTGGGAAGGTACCACTATCAGTGACGTCCAGGCAACACCTCGCGGCGATGGGCAACAGGCAGGTGCAGGATAGACTGTGCCATGTAAGGCGACCGCGACCGGTCTACGCTGCGCGCGATGCCACGATATAGCTCGCAGAATGGGAACACGCGCATCCGATATTATGCCCCCTAGCCTCATGTGCTGTCAGGAAAGACCGGGAAGCATCAGGGGAAAGGGCTGACGCCATTGAATCGGTGGCGCGCAGCGTGTAGGGCGAACCCAAGACGGGGTTCTCGAGAACGAACGTTGCATAGACACACCGCTTTTGTCGTCGCGTGTTCGTGCAGATGCATGCACACGCAGATCATTGCGGACCCTTATCCTGTTACGATGCGATCTCCGACAGCCTAATCTGACAGTCCAATCACACGGCATGTTTACTGCGAACACGGAGATTCGTCAGTAGCTGTCAGAGCGATACGGTGACGTAGCACATACCACGCCTCCGGAGAATCCGACACAGCTACTGAATGGGCGCTTTAGACTCAGTACTGCTTCAGAAGAGCGAGATAGGCCACTTACCGTATAATTGTTACTAGGATACTGGATCGGCGACTCGTTTTAGACATTCGAGTTCTGCAAGGTAAATCCCAAGACTAAGTCCCTCCTTCCACCCCATTTCTATGCTCTCCGGTATGTGGTCCAAATCGAGGTGGGGGTATATCCTTTTATCAAGCTTCAAGCACTGCGACATGCGCTGATCCAGACTCCTGACCGCAAATGGCGGTGTCACAAGATACACACCACCAGTGCCATCGCTAGACGGTAGGGAAAAGAGGGCATTTCGCACCTCGTCGGCGTCGGCGCCCGCAAGGTCGATGATAGAGACCAGGCCTGACTGGACGTCTGCAGCACGAAAATAAGAGCTAAATCTTTTTTACAGGGCCAAAGCGCGCACCGGTCTCGGGGATGGCAAGAAGATGCCTCGGTGGCATGTAGGTTTTCCAATAGACGATTGCGCTACTATGGTTGGTCTGCTGTACCAGCTCGTGGACGCGAAAAAGCGATGGTACGATTCCGCCTTGATGCAGAAATCCGAATATGACAGCCAGCACGATGTTGCACAATGCCGTCGAGACCTGTGGGAAAAGCCAATTCTCACTCCCTGACAACACGGATATTAAGCAGACTAACCCAGAATAATTTGCCCAGCCGGTCAATGATACCACTATTAGCCACCAACAGGATTGTAGGAAATACGAGCGGAATGAGAAAGCGCGGTTCCTGATGCGGCTGGAACGATAACAGCAAGAGCGCTGAAAGAACGGTCCAGGCGCAGACTGCGAGGGGCAGGTCTAAGTCAGTAAGCACATGTACCGCAAGAGCCTGAGCTAACCTCGATTCATACGGGCAAGAGAGTCTCCAGAAGAATTCTCTTTGACACCTCGGTCACCGCGCAAGGCCTGCCAGCCTGCACGCACACCGGCGACAAACAATGGGGGTCCGAGTATCATGGGAAGGTTGACTACAACGTGCAACCAGCGCGGATGTATGCCGTGTTCGGCGAGGTTCTCGGTGCGTAGGTTGTACAACAAGAAATTGTACGGCGTGAGTACAGGTTTGGCCGTGCTCCCCAGAAAGTATACAGAATCGACCCCAACGTAAACGAGATAGGCTGAGATAGCAGCGAATACCGCGGGTGCAGAGACGCGGAGGAGCGAGGTGAATCTAACGGAGCCTCCTTCTCGGATGATACGAGAGATTTCGAGTAGCGTCTCTATCGCAACAGGCGCCGTAAAGGCGATAAAAGTTATTCTTGTGAATATTCCGTCGACGAACAGTACGGCGAGTACGCAAATATTCCGCCGAAAGGCATTCTATGGACAGCCGTTAGTGACGCCACGTTATTATGAACTGAGCTCACTCACTCTTGTTCGACTTTGGAGCAACTTCCAGAAGCGGTCCAGGACAAAAACTACACACAGTGCCTCGAGAGAATTAGAGAACGGCCTCACCTGGAAGGTGAGCATGACATGTGAAGACGACAGAAGAGTCAATGCCAGCAAAGGCTTCCGCGGTATCAGACGATACATGCATGCATCTACGCGGCCACTCAGTAAGTTGGTACACTCCACTGATGTGTAAGCGCACCCAGAAAGAATGAGAGAAGGAGGAGTACCGCCCTTTCTGCAAAGAATATATGGGCAGGCGAAACATCTTCGGCAGATAAGTGAAAAAGACATTTTTTATGCATGTATTTCTCAACGTACTGTCAGATAATTTATGTAGTACGGTGAAGGCAGCTCCAGTGGTCATTGCAGGTGGGAGTATGGATCGACAAGGGAACGACAGGTCCCACTCCCAAGTCTTCAGTGTATGCAGGCCGAGCACACTGCCTAAATGTTCTCATATAACCTTGACGTTTTCGAGACACAGCAAATGAAATGACCTGCAGTAACTTCGCCATTCTGGAAGTATTCGTCGGGGTGTATGTAGCCCGTGCCAACGAAGGCGAATACGACTCGTGCAGCGACCAGAAGCGTGTAGAGTCGACCGTAGCTCTGTGAAAATAGCTCAAATAGAGACATTCAAAAGGGTACCAAAGCAGACCGTGTTGGTCACACGCAGCGCTATGGATGAGTACGAGACGATGTGAGCGTCGAGGACAAGATACGGAACGTAACCAAGCGCCCATATACGCAGCTTAACCGAAACCACCATCTTCCCCATCATCGGCCATGGTACGCATCTTTTGTGCATCGACTTTGGACCTGCTCTGAACTATGCTTTATCACGCTGTGTCGCGCTCATACAATCACTTACCTCTCCCTCGACCGTAAACCCTCGCTTGCCAATCCAAGGCTTCATTACACTTCTGTTCGGAATGCAACAACCTGCTCTATCCCAAGGCCGACCCCGACCGCCGCATCATGGTCTATGCATGTCGTATCTGCGACTTTGATGAGCCAGGAGAGAACAAGCTAGTCTACCGCAATGACTTACTTACAGTCACAAAGTGAGTATTCGTTTCCAAACTGGGGACCGCATTCGACGGTCAGTGCTAGCATCTGAACAGATATTGACCGTTGCTGGATACTAGGGAGCAAGTCGGTGTCACGCACGACCTCCCAACAGATACAACGCTTGTGAGTCTTGAGCCCTATGGTATCGAGGCTGTCTGTTGCTAACTGGCGGCTTACAGGCGCACGCGAAGATGGTTTGCCCAAAATGTGGGAATGACGAGTACGTCGACGGAATCTTATTCAGGAGCTTCGACATCTCATTCACACTTTACGTAGTGCTGTCTATTTCCAAGACCAGTCGAAGCGAAGAGAAACTCGGATGATACTCTTCTACGTCTGCACAAAATGCAATCACAGCTACCTCGATCCAACGCTACCTACAGATAGCAGACCTGATATAGAATGAATGGTTCTGGAGAGGTATATTTGGTTTACGAGACACTGATACTGTATATGCACTGGGCACTAATGAAATATAAGATGTCCATTAAACCGATACCTAAGCAGGGTTTGTGCTCATATCGATAAGGATAGGCGAACATGTCCCACACACCTTCCAGCCACCAGCAAGACCCATGACATCTTGTGGGTCGACCCGCCGCTTCGTCGCGCGCATCCGGGGCAGGCTCTCTCCGAAAATCTGCTCTACGGGCGTGCCTTTGATTGCGTAGTTGCCGTACAAAGATGCGGCGCCGATGTCCTGGCCTTCAGCCATGGCGACAGCCTTCAGGTGGGCTGCGCTCTGCATGGCAGCAGCCCGCACGATCGGGTCCGCCGAAGAGGACTCCCATGCGTAGTAGATGTTAAGCGGGAGCAGGCCATGCTTGCGCGATGGTGGGTAGGCGGAGGATTGTACTGTGCCATGCGTAAAAATTGTCTCAAGGAAGAGCTCGACGTCGTAGGATATCAAAGAGGCGGACTCCGGTCCAAGCTTCTGTGACCAGAACTGTGCCTTTCGTTGAGCCGGTGTGGAATATAGACGGGAGCGAACAACCTACCTGGGTCTCGTTATTAATCGCCTCGAGCAGCCCAGGCGTGAAATGAGTCAGTGATACAGTATTGTATACAGCCCTGCGAAGACGGAGGTCGGACAGCTTATTCGATATACGATATCTCATGCATACCGAGCACCGAGTGTCGCATTGGGCAATGACTGGACGAGAGATAAGAACGAGCGAGTGCTGATGTCCTGTTCGATCGCAGGAATTGCGAGGAAGTCGTCGAAGATGCCGGGTGGCTGGTTGGGCGCGTCGTAGAACATAAGGATAGTCATCACAGGCTACTTGAGTATTCGAATGAATATCGATAAATGCTGTAGAGAGAAAACCACGGACCATTCCACCGGCCACGGTGTATGTCGGAAGGACTTGTGCCTTAGGGTCCATCACGTTGGCTTGGAACTTCAGGGTAGCAGCATTGAGGGCATCCGGTTGGGCTCCGACGATGATCGAGACACCACCCTGGGGTAATAAGTGAGCGAGAACGACGTGACAGGGTGAAAGAAGGTGTCGCACCCAGACTTGTGATTGGGTGTAGGCTTTCGCTTCAATCTGTGTAACAACGCCCTGCGGTCGAGTAAAAATGGTGCACACAGCTGATCAAATGCACAAGGCACCCACGTAGTTGTTGTATCCACCCTGCATCGCATGTGTTCAGCCTACACGCCCTCTCCAAGAGCTAGCTTTTACACACCTTCGTGCTGAAGAAGAGATCTGGGTCGCTCTTCTCAGTTACATTGACGACCCGTCCATTAGGCAAAACAATCTCGAAGCTGACAATATTATCGACCGTGAGCCCGTGCTGATTTGTCAGCCAAGAATACCCTAAAATGCATAGGTCTCGTCAGATAAGCTCCAACAATTGTCGATCCGCGCTGCAACGGACCTCCACCGTTGCTGACACCGCCGACCCCGACGCCCGTAATACGGGCCCCGACGACGTTCACGCCGTACGGCTCGAGCGCAGCATAAACCTCGTCCCAGATGAGGCCTGTACCGTAGGTGACCGTCTGTGATTCATTGTCGTAGACGACGTTATTGAAGCGCGACATGGCAATTTGCACGCCAGTTGTAGAGGAGAACCCCTCATTGGCGGTGTGCCCGCCGCTTTTAACCTGTGGAGCAGCACGTCAGAGGCAAGACAGCCAAGAGTCGAGATATGTACTGACGGCAAAGGGAGTTCTGGTGGCACCGAGAATTTGCAGCTGTTCGATCAATGTCAGTAGAGAGTTGGCATTCAAGTAGATACCCGCCTTACAATCTTTCCCACGTCCTCTGCTGTTCCTGGTTCGACAGAACACTCTGATTGACCAGGACCATAAGGTAATCTTTGGAACTTATCAATCTTGTGTCAATGGCCACAACGATGCTCTTCTTGTTGACTTTATGCTGTGGTGCAGCTAGTGGTAGTTCATGAGCTAGCTGAAAGCGCAACTCGAACATGAGATGTGCGGCTCACATATACGCCTTCTCCCCTCCCAGGCAATCCATGGTAAACTCACAGTCGTTGATATCCATGGGCTCTGACCCCGTCTCGCCTCAGGACGCCATGCGAGCACATGAGATAGGAGCGAGTCACGGTTTGCATCTGGGCTGTGTGAAGCAGGAATAGCAGAACCAGGAAGATATTCTGGTGTTCTGTACTTGTAAGCCAAGAGGTCGCCGTTTGTGTTAAAGCACTCCTCAGGCAACTCTTCGAGTCTGAAAAGCAGCGGATGCTCTCAAAGGACTCCTCCTAGGGTTGCATGTCATGAAAATCCAAACGGAAGAATGTGAGAATTTAACATGGGTAGCCTGGGCCCTACCAGTGTGTGTGCGGTGATTTGGCCCGGGGGTGCATAAATCGGTAGAGGCTTGTTGCTGCAGTTATATACCTCACAGTGCATGAAAATTGGAAATTTACTGTATCTATCATCCTTTCCGACAAGCTGACAGCTCGAATATTAATTAATACCATGAACTCGTAGACTATAGTATATGCTTCCAGATGCCCTCGAGTGGAAGATACCAAGTGCTAAGCGCCCTCAAATAATTTGGGACCGGGGGGAAATTATTAAGCACCAGCCACCACTCGCGACAATGAAGTTTGTCCGATGCCTTGGAGCGCTGAATAATGGAGTCGTCAGACGAGTTAGAGTACCCACATGTCAATAACACTTTCAGGAGGATTAGGAGAAGAAA